AAATTCCATGAAAGTGGGTCAAAATACTGCCGAGTATCTTGTCCAAAAACCACATAACTATTCTTTTTCATGAGCTTTGACCCCCCCCCCCCAAAAAAACTCAAAAATGGCGAATCCAACTTTTTTTTCGTGTCAATGTGTTGGGCGCATGAAAATTTATATTTGTGCCAATTTTCATTTTGATTGCTGTAAATATGACCGCACAGGAACCCAAACTGTTCATTTTGGGGTTGATTGATATTTGACTCCATAAACTCCTTAAAAATAGCATAAATAAAAAAAATAAAGAGGGCTCTGAGCGTATTGGACCAAGGTATAACTATCAATTTTCAAGCCAATCCGCTGAAAAATGAAGGAATTTCGGGCGATTGAAATGTATTTGGAAGAAGAAAAACGAAAGAAAAAACTATAAAAAAACAGTACAATACAATAAATATATGTGGATAATCTCAGAAGTCGATTTAACAGGTACTTATGTGTATAATTAATTAGAGACAAGAAACGTTCTGGTTGTTGTAATTCTCAATTTTATCCATTCTACGTTACATAAAATCCACTTTAATAACTAGGTCAAATTCGTAATGTAGAAGGAAGAAAAAATGATAAGGATAAATAGTTAGAAATACTGAAGTTTTTGTTTCCACTGTCATCCCCATTCAGTGATATGAACCTTGTTCATACAGTTGTTTAAGGTTCACTTCTTCATGTTACAATGAATTAAGACTTCATCAGTTCTAGAATAAATGTCCTGAAGCCAAATAAGAGGTTGAAATGAATGTTAAACTGATGATATCTTCCTGAAGATTTGGATATATTTAAAATACCATTTAGATGAAGAAACTGAGCCATCCCTACATAGACAGTGCTGCCACCTGCTTGATTATAATCATGCTTCGCCAGCTTGTAAAAAATGTTGATAATGTTCACACCATAACACCTGTAGTTGTGACAAATGGCTTTTATAAATAGTGATCCAACCACCGTTTTCCTCCCAGAAGATCTGACATTGTTTTAACAATGAAGACGTATTTGTGACGATGATCCGTCATTAGTCAAATAATTTCAACAGTTCATCAGAACTTAACAATACTATACAGTGTTTCCTTTTATAACAATATCTATGTAATGACTGAGTCACAAGTTCTGGGAATATCATAGCGAAAAGTTTGAATTTCTTTTTCTTCTTTCTTCTGCTTCTTTTATTATTACGTGATAACTTAAAAACCAAAACAAATAAGTATTATCAATAATTAGTAGTAATTTTTTAATGTCAGAATTCTGGTGTAAGAGATGTTATAATTACTCCTTAAAGTTAGCTTTTTTATAGAAAATTAGTGTTCCTATAAAAAAGTAAAACAGTAAAGTATAAAAGGTAAAACAGGAATTACCAGTCTCATTATATTTATAACTTGATTATAAACACAACCTTCTTATGTCTATTGAAACATTGCGTTAAGAAAAACAACAACAAGCAAACAAGTAAAGAAAAACTTTTCAAAAAAAAAAGAAGTAAATGTAGGGATGGCTGATATCAATCCTTCGAAAACAATGAAGCAAGATGGTAGGGATAGGATTTGTATTTACCCTATATAATAGCACAGGTAAGAATTAAGATATACCAATATATATAACTATTCGACAAGCCGTCCTGTCTCCAACAGTTCTACAGACGTCGTTATTGCCTCTACCCCAGTTTCTTCCCTACTGTCCGTTTCCTTACATTGTTCTGTTGATAGTGATCATCTACCCATACATATCTTTCAATACAACGGTGACACGGCTCTCCTTGCCCTTTGTTTTACAATGGTCACCCTCAACAAAGTCCTGCAGAAAGCCGTCAACTCTTTTCTTTCCTGGTGCAGAAACTGGAAGCTTACACGTCACCCTCACAAAACCAAAGCTATTCTCTTTGGCCCGACTCGCCACAAGTTTCGTCCATGCCGTAATCCACTTCTCTTCGTTGTCCGACTTGACAACATTCCTATTACCCTATCCAATACAGTTAAATATCTTGGAGTTACCTTTGATCGCCATCTCACCTGCAAAGCACACTTGGCCATCCTACACACGAAGGTTAATTCCAGGCTTCATTTACTTCGCCTTCTCTGTGGCTCATCCTGGGGTTTGAATCCCCAGCTCCTTTTATATTCCGACCAAGCTTTTGTCCGACCCTGCCTCACGTATGGTCATGTTACCTGGATCTCTGCTCCATCTTCACTCTGTCATCGGCTGAAAGTTTTGGAATGCCACGCTTTACGAATAGCCTTTCATTTACGTCGTTCCAATCCAACAAAGGAATTATACCCCCCCCCCCATACTCGCACATCTACGCGAACTACGAGTGAAGTATGTTCACCGCTGCTTCGATCATCATAACCCTATCTTCGACGAAATCCTATTCGATTCGGTGAATACCCCTTGCAAACTCTAAGCTCCGACGGATCATCTCCTGAACCTCTACCTACAATGCAACTCCGTTGCCTGATCTTCAACCACACATCTATCTCTGATTGCGTTTTCTAATAGCGTGCATTAAACTCGTCTTCACCATCTCAGTACCTGGTCTCACGTGTAAATAAGCAACGAGAGATGAGTAAAGAGGGTTACGCCCTCCCAGTGGCCAGGAGATGTAGAAGTACACACTTGGCTCGCAAGCATTCCGGGCTGAAATGAAATGTCGTCAAAAAATTAAAAATCTCTCTTTGGTTAACTTGGGTTCAGGTTTACTGATGAGGAGTGGAATTCTCTGAAACTAGTATAACCCAATAACATACGTTGCTAAAAGTGTAGATTAAACTGTACTTCCTTTGAACTTGGACTTCGAGATTGAACAATTTTCGGAATACTAAGTTTATTTATTAACAAATTACTTTGTTATACCGTATCATTTTGGCTGTTTTACAATGTTTACATCTTGCAACATCTCCATACGGAAGACGCAGTCCCTAAGCCTGATCCCTCCAAGTCCAAGAAAGCCAAACAACAACCAGGATCTACGTAGCTTCACGTCGACCCCTCACCAATCCAGTCTTATCTTACTAAGTGACTTTTCGTGACTTACTAGTGTAAAATATTCACTGTCAATTTCTATACAGTATATGTTTCCCTACAGAAATATGTTCAGCAGGAACACCCAAGTGAAACCCTAGTTGAATGACCCGATTTAGAAAGTAACTAGGGTGAGAAGAACTTAGTGAGTAACTTGAACGATACATTGGATTAAGTCAACATAGAAAATATGTAGAGTTTTGAAGTAATTTATATTTAATAAGATGGTATGAAACATGTATCCTTGATAATACAAAGATCAGCAAGAATTTTTAATAGAAGTATCAACAATTGTCTTATAACAAAATATATATAGCAATTCACAAATTAATTTATCATATTTTTAACATATCAAAACATTTCATGATCTTATGATGAATGTAAAGACTGATTACTCTAATAATTATTTTTGTAAATACAGTTCTGTAAGTTTCACCTGTTAACTTATTGGTAGTTCTTTCTATGAAAATAAGTCAAGTTTTTAAAAAAAGTATAAAATGATAATTATTTAAAGTATTCCATTCTTTTCAGAAAAGTGTCTTAACCCTAAAAAATATAAAAACTTCCGGGTTCTCACTGACCAAGTAGTCTTATATTATTGAACAACTTTGTTGCTTTATTGAGTCTAGACTTTAAGAAATATATTGTATAAGTTAATATATCTAAACAGACACCGATGTTCGAGGTTGAACTTTGAGTTTAAACCAATTAGAAGTAGAGTATTTATCATGCATACTAAAGAGTTTTTGTCATATTCAAATAATTACACATGACTGTACTTTATAAAGTAAAACTTGTTTTCTTTTAGATACGTAGGCTTAATAGAGAAACCACTTCATACATCAATTACATCATGTCCTAATGAAACTGTAACAGTGAAAGTTTGAGAAACTAAACTGGGGTAAAGCTTTATTTAACTCTGTCGGGAAGAACGTAGATATAACATACCAATAAAAAGGTTAATATTATAACCATCAGATTCTCTGCAGTAGATAACTTTCTGGGATGTTAAAGAACTGGTCGTTTTAATGACCAATTGTGTACACAAGATATTTACTTGATCTTTTCTTTATCTTTACTTCTTCAACACTCTTACTTCCTTAAATTTCAAGTGGCTCCTCCATGGAGTTTTATATCCTCACTAGGTCCTTTTATTCCTTCACTTCCTTGAAACCAAGATACTATTATTTATGTGAATTATAAAAGATATATCCCAAATATCTTATACTTCTTTCAGTATTCTGTCCATAGCAAGTCTGATCTTGAGATTACACTTGTCACTAGTTATACTCAAGAACCACGTTCGTGCAATCTAATAAGAATGTGTGTTTATATTACTCGTTTATAACCTTCGTTTTTCCTAACTCGAAAATGTCTTTAATATGAGTATTGAAAAACCTGCACATTATAAACCTATAATGTTAGTTAACTTCTAATAATATTTCTGTATTTTGTGTGTATAATATTAACTTTTTACACTTTATGTGTAGCTCTTTCAGACACGTCATTTGAAATATACAAACATATTGTGTTCACTTGGAGGTATTTGTTTTATATTATGTTATTCAACACATCAAAACATCTTACCGCTGTTTTTATTAATCTTCTTAATGAACAATATAACCTATATATTTAATGTAACTATAGCAACATTATAGCCCCCACAACACGGGTTTTCGTTCGTCTAAATGAAGGTACTCGATGGTATGAAAGTTAAAGTTTCTCTAACAGGGAATCCCCGTCCCACCAAACATGCTAATCCTTTCAGCCGTGGGGACGATATAATGTGACGGCCAATCTCACTATTTGCTGGTAGAAGAGTAGCCCTAGAGTTGGCGGTGGGTTGTGGTGACTAGATGCTTTCCCTCTAGTCTTTCACTGCTGACTCAAGGACGCCCTTCTGTAGCTTCGCGTGAAATCAGTAGAAGGAGTTTAACTCCTGCTCCAACATCAGCAGAGGAAACATGTAGGTTGAGACAGGATAAAACCTTACAGGGAGATTAACTCCAGCTCCACCATCAGGACAGGAAATATGTAGGTTGAGACATGATAAAACCTTACAGGGAGTTTAATTCCAGCTCCACCATCAGAACAGGAAATATGTAGGTTGAAACAGGATAAAACCTGAAGTGAGTTTAACTCCAGCTATACCATCAGGACAAGAAATATGTAGGTTGAGACAGGATAAAACCATGTAGGGAGTTTAACTCCAGCTACACCATCAGGACAGGAAATATGTAGGTTGAGACAGGATAAAACCTTACAGGAAGTTTAACTCCAGGTCCATCATCAGGACAGGATAAAACCCTGTAGGGAGTTTAACTCCAGTTACACTATTAGAACATTCGAAATGTAGGTTGAGACAGGACAAAACACCACAGTAAGTTTAACTTGTTAATACCGAATTATAGGTTTATTTAACCAAGTAAAGAATCATTTTAAGGATGTCTTTCTGGATTTCAGGTTTTGTATATTTTAACAGCAACTGCTAACGTCATGAATAAAAACAACAAATAACTACATATCAAACGGAACAATCAGCAACTAATGTTTTCTTTTCTGCAAAAAATTCATTACTGCAGAAACAAATAAGACATCTTAGCAAGAGACGATTCTAGCGCCATTTATCCCCAAGGTTTCTCCAGTTATAAACGAAGCCTCGTCAGAAACGAGAAAAGCGATTGCACTGGCGACCTCTTGTGGTTGTCCTCCTCGACCAAATGGCTGTGTTTGGGCTGTTTTTTTCATCACCTGTGATATAAACGTTTAAAGAAATTTAGTTATTCTTAAGTTAGGCTTAATGGTTAAAGTAAATAAAAAAATATTTATATCACATGTAATACATAGACATTGATTTACATATTTGATGAATGAACTGGATTACAGTAAATATTAGAATACTGTTATTACACTACGTAACAAATATAAGTATTATAATTATTTATGTCTTTATTTATTTTCTGATATGTTGAACTGGATAAGTAAGTATTATACGCTTTACGAAATCGTTAAAACTTATCAGTAACAAAATGGCGTATTGACCATTGTATATTGCCTCCTGAATATGTTATTGAAAAAAGGAAACACTTGAGCATTAAAAGATGAATTTTAAAACAGCACAACCTCGTTCAGTGTCGTAAGTACGCCTCCACAATCGCGGGGGACTCGAAATGCCTGACAAACTTAAGAATTACCTACCGACAAAGGGAATAAATGTAAGGGGTCCAATTACTTTTTATTGTGGGGGGGGGCATCTTTTCTGGTTAC